TTAGATTTCTATACCTAACTGATTATATTATGCCCTTCTTGAGCCAAATCTGATGAGAGTAAGGTTCAAACAATGCTCCTCCCTTCTTTCCCTCTGCTGTAATAGGATTTTGTGTCTTTTCCTGTAATGTAATTTACCCTTGTCTGCCTCCTCCTTTCTCAGTACATTTTCTAAGATCAGATCCACTTATTTGGATCCATTTAACCCACTTGATTAGATTTTTTTTATTATCATCAAAGTCAACTAATATCCACCCCTTTATGTATACTCCTTTAACATGGTGTAATAACAATACAGTTCTCAAGGTTGCAAGTCTCATTCCCTTGTAGGGGTTTAAACAGTCCCTTATTAACAACATATTGTATCTTCTGTCCCATTTACCTTTTTATGTCTTCTTGAGTCTGTACTTGAAGATCAAATTTTTTGTTGAGCTCTGGTCTTTTTATCAGGAAAGTTTGGAAGTCTCCTATTTATTGAATATCCATCTCTCTCCCTTGAAAAATGATGCTCATTTTTGCTGGGTAGTTGATCCTTGGCTGCATTCCAAGCTCCTTTGCCTTAGGAATATCATGTTCCATGCCCTGGTCTTTTAATGTAGAAGCTGCAAGGTCCTGTGTAATCCTGACTGTGGTTCCATGATATTTAAATTGTTTCTTTCTGGCTGCTTGCAGCACCTTCTCTTTCATCTGGTAATTTTGGAATTTTGCTATTATATTCCTTGGCATTTCAATTTGGGATCTCTTTCAGGTGGTGATCGGTGGATTCTTTCTATGGTTATTTTCCTTCTGGTTCTAGGACTTCAGGGCAGTTTTCCTTTATGATTTCCTGAAAGATACTGTCCAGGCTCTTTTTTTATCATGATTTTCAGGTAGTCCAATAATTTTTAAATTGTCTCTCCTGATCATTTTCCAGGTCAGTTGTTTTACTGATGAGGTATTTTACGTTTTTATCTATTTTTTCATTTTTTTGTTTTTTTGACTGATTCTTGCTCTCTCATAGGGTCATTAGTTTCCATTTGTCCAATTCTAGTTTTTAACAGATTGTTTTCTTCTGTTAGTTTTTGTTATATTTAGTTTTCTCAGGTACTTTTTTCCAGTTGCCAATTGTGTTTTTTAGGGACTTATATTCTTCAGTGCACTTTTTTTTTTTCCAGTTGGCCAATGGTATTTTTGAAGGACTCTTCTACCTCTCTCAGTAGACTTTTAAAATCCTTCTGGAGCCCTTCTAAGGCTTTTTGGGCTTCTGACCAGTATATATTCCCTTTTGATGTTCAGATGTGGGTTTGTTGATGTTGTCCTTTCAGAATTTCTGTCTTGATCTTCACTCTTCTCATAATATGAATCTATGGCATTTTTATTTTTACTCATGGTGTTTCTTTATTCCCTGGCCTTTAAAGAGATTGAGCTCTCCTGCTGGGGAACAGAGGGCACTGACCCAAGCTTCTTGTGTTTGGATCCTAGGTGTTGGTCACTGGCTTTGTGTGCTGGGGCCTCTTATGTTAGCAATTGGAGGCTCTAGGGTTCTGGCAGCTTACCTGGTGTTGGGCTGGAATCAGCAAGGCTGGAACTTTAGGGCAACTCTAGGTTGCTGTCTTCAGCTCCTTTCACATGAATTCTGCAGGGTGTTAATCCACCTGGGGCCCTTTGTAGTGTTGCTTCCCTTGTTTTTGCTGAGGCACTGGGGGACTTTGTTGTAGAATGCCGAGGCACCAGGATCTCCTCCTGGTGTGCTAAAGTGGAGCTTTCCAATAAGTGTCTGGGATGCCTCCTTCCCTGTTGCCCCAGGGTAAGAGGGGCTTTTCCCTTTAATCCCTCAGGCTATCTGGGCTACTGCCCTGCTGCTCCCTGTCTTTCTTCTGGTTAAGTTGTTCCACTGTTTTTTTCTGGGGTGATATTTTCTGGGCTTTCAGAGGTTGACAGGGGAGGTTGAGAGTAACTAACTTTTTACTCTTCCATATTGGCTCACGAAGTTGAAGTCCTAACCCCACATTCTGCTGTAAATGAGGAATTTTGGCCCCAATTTCATCTCATGTGGATGCCAAAGAAAATTCAATTCATCTCCTCGTTTAATATTTTCTAACTTTGTACAGGGCCAGGGGGGTTGCTTTCAAGCATGCCATTGAGGCCCAGGGGCTGCAAACACAGGAGCTGGAAGCACATAGCTGTGACAGGCAGGGATGACTCCTCTCTCCTCCCATCCTGCTTATGCCTTTGTCTGAAGATTCCAGAGATATTTGCAGATTGCAGGGGAGATCCTTGCTAGAAACAGGGGATTCAGGAGAAGGAGAGCTACAGAATGAGGTACCCATATGTAAGGGATTCAATGGAGACCCAGAAGGAAGATTTCAGATGCAGGCCTCCACAGGTCTATGCAGGCCAGGCTTCACCCAGGGCTGCTGCCAGGATTTGGAGTATTGGACTTGGGAGGCCCCATGGTGGAGTACAAGACCTGAGGTCAGGTCCTAACTCTGGATTTCATTGGGTGTGTGGCTCTGAGCACTTTACTCAGCCTCTCTGGACCTCTGTTTCTTCCTCAGTAAAATGAGAATAACATTTGCATTGCCAGTGATACTAAGGCTAATAAGAAGCCTTGAACCTATGAGCTCTTGCTTTGAACCTATGAGCTACAGAGAGAGTATTAGGGAAGGAAGAAGGCAAAGCCAAGGTTCTTATTTGGCAAGCTAAGTTATAGGATAGAAAGGCCTTGGTTTCCCAGACCCTGACCCCAGCACACACATATGTGGCTCTAAAAGGAGGTTGACCCAACAATTGTTCCTAAAGGGCAGTCTCAACATCCTTCCATGGTCCTATGTGTATTGAGTGGCTACTAGCAAAGGCCAGGGAACTCCTTCATATGAATCCATCATAAGTGTGGGGAAAATCAACATCACAAAATTTGGGAGTCCTTTGGGCCCTCAGAGGTCAGCTAGTCTAACCAGTGATGTCAAACTCAAACAGAAATTTATTGTTGTTAGTATTCAGTCCTTTTCAATCATGTACAATGCTCTGTGACCCCATTTGGGGTTTTCTTGCCAAAGACACTGGAACGCATTGCCATTTCCTTCTCCAGCTCATTTTACAGATGAGGGAACTGAGGCAAACAGGGTGAAGTGACTTGCCCAGGATCACCCAGCTAGTAAATGTCTGAGGCCAGATTTGAACACAGGAAGATGAGTCTTCCTGGCTCTGGTCCCTGCACTGTATCCATTGCACCACCTGGCTGTCCCCAAATAGGAATGGGAGCCACATATGTGTACTTAAGGATCACTGCAGTGCAGGCCACACACTGACTTAGTTTAAAATGAAATGTTATCTGCTTTATTGTATATTCAGGTCTTTGTTAAATATCTCCCACAGACACTTTAACCTGCTTCCAAAGCATTGCAGCACACTGTAGCCAGGCAGCAGGCGGTGTATCTGAGCCCTCTGGTCAAACCTACCCCTGCATGGAATCCACACTCTAACAAAGCCCACAAGGATTGGTCACTCAGTCCCTCCAAGGCCAGACCTCCTTGAGCAGCCCCTCCTGCTTATGGACACCTGTGATGGTTAAGAGGGAGATTTGGAAAGTTGGACTCTGGGGGTCACAGAGTTTGGAGATCAGGGTCAGAAAAGCAAGTGCAGTTCTATGAGAGATGTTTCAAATTTCAGTGAACTAATTATTCATCAGATATATAAAAGCAGTATTTTTGTCCTGCTCCTTGTAAGCCATGTGGGGACAGGAAGTCTCATGAGAAAAGACAAGTCCTCCATGTATAATCCTCCACAACTGGATGACCAAGGCAAGAGGAGGCTTCTGGGCTCAGAGAGGAAGACAGTTCAACTTCCTTGCTCTTTCCCTTTTTCAACCCCAGGGTCCCCAAATCATGTGTGGCCATGGGATAAGATGGCTTACAGCCCAGGGGAGATTGTCCACCCACTTATTACCACAATATCCCTGGCCTCCTTGGGAGAAGAAGATGCTCAGAGAGAGGCCTCCAACCTTCTGGGACAAAAACTATGTCCCAGCTACTCAGTGTGGTCTGAGCAGCCAATGTCCAACTGATCCAGGATCTGACATGATGTATTTGTAGTGAATGTTTTCTTTCAACTATCGCATATCAGCTAGGAGACAGTAGGACCTAAGTCTCTGCTGCTTCTACCACTTTGTGACTGTCTTCCTTAGATCAATGAATAATGGTAATGGAAACTTCCACACCAGGGATTTTAGAACAAGTGAGCAAAACTTGGATGGCCTCAGATGAGGGAAAACATGATTATAAGATGGGAGAGAAATAGAAATAATTAAAACATTCCTCTTTTTTGGAAAGAAATACTGGGACATAATGAAAGAGGGAAAGGCAAATGTTCCCAGCAGCTTGGATCATTCCAAAGGGGAAAGGAGAGTGGGGGAGGAGGGAAGTTAGAGGTGCAGAGACATCAACTGACTCTCACTACTTACAGGGTCAGGCCTCCAGGGAGACAGAGAAGGGGCAGGGGCTTCTTTCTATTTAGAAACTAGATATTCCCTCCTTCAAATCATTAATGGGAAACTTTTTCCTCACAAGGGAAGAAAACCCCATCTGGGACACTCTAAAAAGGGGACAAGGTGGTCACTCAGTGCAGTGACCATCACCAACAGAGATGGAGCCCCAGGGTCCTGGAAGGGCCCTGAGAAGAGGCCACAGAAGCCCTCAGGGGGAGCCCTGCAATGAAAGAAAAGCAGGGATACAGACACAAGGGGGGAGGAAAATGGCAACAATATAGAAAGAACTGGGACTCCCTGAAAGTCCATGCTGGGGGCTGGGGCTATGGACTAACACCCTATTTGGGCATCCAGTTCAGGAGGAGAAGCCCTGGAACAAGTCCCAATACACCACGTCCACAAGTGCACCCCAGCAGTACAAAGTCTGCACCCTCACCGGGTACCATACACAGGCCCTCCCCCAGGCTCCTTCCCCTCTTGGCCCCAGCCCTCACCTGCACTCACAGACTCAGCAGAGCAAATAAAAGATTCTCAGACATCTTCAAATTTTCTTTTATTTCCCCTTCATACGGCCAGAACATCTCCACGTTGTCATCCTGTCCCCTAAAATCCCCCACCCAAATGTGAAGCTTAGCTGAGATTGTGGAGAAAAGCTGAAGTTTCAAGAATAATAATTAGGCTGTTTTTGCAGTCAGAAAAAAGATCCCAGAGGTCAGTGTAACATCCAGTGTGAAGGAGGGCTCATTGCCAAAGCCCTCTGAGCCTCACTCTGCAGAGTGAGACAGGCAGAAAGAAAAAAGGCTGGGGAGGGAGGCCTAGAGAACAGGGTGAGGGCCTAATGATACTTCCCTGGGCTTGGCCCAGTAGAGTCCAGGGAGGATCCCAGGGGCCAATGCTGGGAAGAGAAGCCAGGGGTGCCCAGGATCAACACAGGCACTGGAGACTAGTTTTATTACTCAGGCCCATACCGGGCAATTCTCTCAAGCTGAAGAAGGAAAGAAATTCAGGGAGATCCTCCAAGTCTCCTCTGGCCTCCATCCTCTCTTCATTCTGAAGGGCCTGCCTCACCACCCATCCAGTCCTCAGTCCAACCTCTCACCCACCCTCCTCTTTGCTTGGCCCCCTTTACCCCAGCACCTCTCTCCTTCTAGGCCCCCAGAGTCTCACCTTTGGCTGTGGGGAAGACATGTGACCCCTGTGCACTGTCATTGCCTGGAGACAAAGGAGGGAAATGACCTAGTCAGGGACATACATTCCAGAACTGGGGTATGGGAAGGGAAGGGGACACCAAAGGAAGGTTGTTGGGCTAAGCCTGTCCTCTGCCTTCCCATTGCTCAGGTCCCTGATACCATGGGCTGGGCCTTTCCTTCTACCTTCCATGTCCACCCTTTAGTTACCTGCAGCAGGAACATAGTTCCCTCCTTTTCCACCTGGAAAACAAAAACATTTCCAGTGAGTAATCCAGGACAGGAGACTACACCAAGATCTCAGGAGTTCACTGGTTTGTCTTGGAGACACAACAAATTACAACTGGGTCTGCACCCCCATGCCCCACTCCATTCCAGCCTCTGGATCCAAGTGGAAGAGAGAAAAGAGGCCCCCTAAATGGACAGTTCCCCTCCTCCCAGCTAGGGGACACTCAGGCCTTCTGGCAGAAATCCCCATATTCATTTCTGATCTGAGTCTGAAGCAGATTCCCCACTAGGCTAGCCTGTTATATCCCTGCCAGGCATCCTCCAGATAAATGGTTTCTAGTTGGGGATTTGTTCATCTGGAGTCTTAGTGCCCATCTAAGAGTCCTTCAGGTGGGAAAGAGAGGACTTGGGGTAGAAAGACAAACTTTGGGGCAGGGAAAGCCAGGATCTCCATGGTGCCTGCTCCCTAAGGACCCCCTCCCAGTCCTGCCCACCTGAAGTGTTCTTCCTCCAGATCACAACTCCAGCAATGACTGCAGTGATGAAGATGAGGACAGCAATGGCCCCCACGATGACCCGGGTAGATGAGGACTCTGGCTCTGAAATGGAAAAGGGAAGTGAGAGGCCCTGAGCCCTCTGGGTCCTGAGATTGACTAATTCCTCCCACACCGCCCCCCAGTCACTCCACCTTCCTCTGGTCTTTTGGAGGTGTGGGGAATGGCCCTTTCCCAGGCCCTCCTCAGGGTCCTTACCCCACTTCAGGGTGAGGGGCTCAGGCAGTCCCTCGTGCTGAACTCGGCAGGTATATTTCCCTTCCTGGCCCGAGGTCACGTCCACACCTGCCCACTTCTGGAAGGTCCCGTCCCCAGCAGGCCTGGTCTCAATGAACTCCGTGTCCTGGAGCTGCTCCTCCCCATCCCTCAGCCAAGTCAGGGAGATGTCCTCGGGGTAGAAGTTCTGGGCTCGACACCGCAAGGCCACCTCCCCGTTGGGGCCAGTGTGGCGGGTCACTCGGACTGAGGGCGGGTCTGGAGGCAAAGGTCAGTGGCATTTCCAGGCTCTCCCTCTCCCCTCGGGGGCACAACGTCAGGTGGGGGCAGGGAGAAAACCCTGCAGTCCCGGCCCTGGAGTAAAAGGGGTGCCTGGGGGCCCGGAGCCCAGGGTTGCAGGAGAGGGAGAAGGGAGGCGGGGGCCTTGAGTGCCGCGCACACTGGGGAGAGACGGGTCAGTACCTGCCCTCTTCAGAGTCTCCTTCCCCATATCCAGGTACTTCTTCAGCCACAGCACGCACTCCTCCTGCAGATAGGCTTTCTTTCTCTCAGTGTAGCCCCTGTCCGCCTCCCACTCCAGCTTGGTGTTCACAGCCTGCGGCACCGCCGCCGTCCACGTGGAGGTCTCCCTGTCCAGAGCGATGTAGTCTTGCCCGTCGTAGGCGTACTGGTAAAACCCCCGCTTGAAGGTGAGGTCCGGTGAGACCTCGCAGCCGTACATGACCTGGATGGTGTGGACCCCTGCCCAGCCCCTAGCCCCGGGTCAGCGAGGCAGGACTCTGGCTCATCCCGTGCCCCGCCCCCACGCGGGTCCTCTAACTTCGGGAGTTCCCCCCCCCCCAGTGTCCCTGGTGGGAGCCGAAGTGACCGTGGGGAGGCTCGGCTCCGGCCCTCCCCCCACTCAGCTCCGGCCTACGTCACGCACCGCCTTCGCTCTGGTTGAAGTAGCCGCGCAGGGTCTGCAGGTACACTCGGTAAGCCTGTGTGTTCCCCCTGGCGATCCGCGTGTTCCGCTCCCAGTAGCCCGGCTCCTCCTGCTCCACCTGCTCTACCCACGCCGCCCGCGGCTCCGCCCTCTGATTCGCGCTGGCACTGTCGAAGCGCCCGCCCTGCTGATCGTCCACGTAGCCCACGGCGAGAAACCGCGGCTCCGCGAGCTCGGGCGAGGTCATGGCGATGTAGTAATACCTCAGGGAATGAGAGCCTGGACATGGGGACCCGGGCCGGGGTCAGGGATCAGGGAGGTGATCGCGTAGACCTGGCCCCGGCAGGGCCTGTCTGCCACGAAGACAGAGGTGTGGCCCTTGATCCCGTGCGGACTTCGGGGCGTGAGCTCGGACTCCTAACCCAGGGTATCCCGACCCCTCCGCCCCCGACGCTGATGGTGCACCGCGCCAGGAGGTAATAATTCTCGACATTTAGCGCTTTGAGATCAGCAAAATTCCTTCTCTGACAACAATCCAGGGAAGTTCTAGTTTCCGTTCAGCTGGATCTAGCCCCGCTCTCCCCTCTGGTCCCGGTCCCGGGTCTCTCACACTCCTCACCCCGAGCCCCAGCTTGCGTTCTCACCTGCCCCGGGCCTCAACCCCCCACCCTCCCCCCAAACCTCAGTGAAGATCTTTAACAAGGGTGCTCCTGGTTCTCTGTCCTAGGCCTTGGATGGGGGGTGGGGGGTGGCTCGAGGACAGCTCTGCTGCTTAACGGCCCAGGACGGTCGCACCCATTCTCCCTCTTGCCTATGCTTCCTCAGCGCCCCCGGTCCTCACCCCGCCCCCAAACTAAGGGACCGACTCCAACACCTCCTCCTGCCAAAGCCCAGCTAGAGGACTGGTCCCCGAGTCACACACACACACACACACACACACACACACACACACACACACGCGCGCGCGCGCGCGCGCGCGCGCGGGCGCTTATTTCTCGCTTCTTCCTTTCACCACCACCTTGACTTCTTCCCCTGACATTAAGGAGCTGGTGCCCTGCAAGCTCACCCTGGGCTGGTGTCGGAGGAGCTTCCTGTAGCCAAAGCCCATCCCACCCACACCTCGACCCCGGGATGCTGTGCCCAGTCTTCACGCCGCCGGTTAATACTATTCTCTACTTACCTGCCCAGGTCTCGGGCAGGGCCAGGGTCCCCAACAAAAACAAAGAGCACAGATAACGCTCCATGGTGCATAGAGAGAACTGAGACCAATCTGCCCTCGGTTTATACAGGGGCGAATCCCTAACTTGTGGTTGGCTTCGCAGAGCCTCTACCAGCCAATAGCAAACGAAAGACTAGAAACGTCATTGGTGACTGGGCAGAATGAGCCCTCACAGGTTAGGAAATAAAAACCGAGACTGACTCGGAGGAAATCCCCAGTGTTATTCCCAGAACAGCCTCGGAATCTTTGGAGCGCCCTAGTCTCCCTCCCTCCCATCATCACTCCAGGAACACCCGGCTCTTGTGCTCCCAGCTTGAACCAGAGAAAGAGAAGATCTCAGCCCTTAACTCTCCTCTGCTGGCCTTCCAACCCAGAGCCCTCCTCAGCGTGACCCTTTCCTCTCCTTAGAAGTGAGGAAGACAATGTCCCTTGCCTAAATTGAAGGTGTCTGAGGAGTGAAGAAATCTGCAGACTGACTGGTGTAGGGCTGTGTTGCCACCTCCGTTTTAATGACCTCCATCCCAGCTGTGCCTCAGGCAAGTCTTGTAACCTTCCCAGGCTGTGTAGATGAGCAGGCAAGGGATCCTAGAGTAATGACTGAATTAGAGTCCAATAAATGGAATTTGGAATCAGAGTAGAAGACTTTGTCTCACCAAAAAAGGGGCAGTGAGGTCCCCCAGTGGTTAGAGCTCAGGGCCTGGAGTCAGGAAGACCTGAGTTCCAATCCAGGCCTCACACATTTACTAGCTGTGTGACCCTGGGCAAGTCACTTAACCCTGTTTACCTCAATTTCCTCATCAGAAGAATGAGCTGGAGAAGGAAATGGCAAACCACTCCAATTTCTTTGATAAGAAACAAGGTCACAGAGTCACATACAATTCCATAAAAATAAAAGGAAAGAGCTTAATAAAAGAGGGAGGAGTACTATTTCAGCACAAGGTTGGCTCTGAACTGCCTGAAATATGAAGGTGTGAATCCCCAGTAACCTTTTTTTCCCCCCAGAAACGAGGAACCTGGGCACATTTGGTGGGATTTTCCCTCTTTCTTGCCTCATTACCCCATCTAGGAAACTATTACACTCCAAATTTTAAAGAGAGTATAAAGTTACCCTTGTCAAGGATCTTAGAGATAATCTCCTTCATTTCACAGAGCAGGAAATTAAGGCCAACAATGTTGAGAGATTTTCCCAAGCTCATGAAGATAGGAAGTAGCAAAATTGAGATTTGTACCTCCATTCTATCATTGCAAACTCATTCATCTTTCCCCAAGCCCAGGCTGGTTTAGAGATCCTGATCAAAGTCCTGAATGAGCCTCCTCTGGTGAAGGACACCTGAACCCTTCAAAGCATGTTGGAGTTAGCACTGTGTGGAAAGGCAAGGAAGAGCTGAGTAATTCTGTTTATCATTTTCTGCTACCAGACCCTTCAGATCAAGTCCTCTCCCATCTTTCTTCTTTTGATCTCAATGGAGCCGAAAAAAATTATCCTAAAAGCCTCAACCCTTGTCATTTCCCACTGTGCTTCCCTTCTCCACAGCACAGCTGTCTGATACACTGCTTTTATAGGGAAAATGTAGACAAGTCTTGAGGTTTTTCCATCCTTTCAGTGACATCTCCCCTGTTAAAGGCTTGGATGCAGCCTCCTCAGCCCTTCTCTCCCTAGCTGCTAACACTGTCTTCTCTCACAATCTTTCATGTTCTCGTCCCCTGCCCTAGACTCCTCTAAGCAGTAGTTCTACAAGACCCTGACTTGGTGAGGCCCCAGCTGGAGGATTATGTTGAGTTTGGGCCACCACATTTTAGAAAAGGTGTGGACAGTGTGTCCAGAGGAACGTATCCAGATGAGAAGGACCAGAATAGTGAGGGGACAAGAGAACTTGGTATGGAGGACTAGGTGAAGGAATTGGGAGAGGAGAAGATACTGAGGGGAGAAGATAGTTGTCTTCAAGTATTTGAAGGATTGTTTGGGTGAATCCAAGAGGGCACAAGTAGGACCTGAGTGAATATTGCAGACAGGCTCATTTCACCTAGGGATTAGGTCTGTGTAGAAGTGCAGTGGTGCTTCCCCCTCCTTGGATGGAGGTCCTCATGCAGGGACTCAGTGACCACATGGTTAATATATAAAAGGGGTTGTTGTTCAGATGGGAGCTGGAGTAGATACCTAAGGTACCTGGGAACTCTAAGTCTCTGATTCTGAGTTATCAGCCTCAACCATCAGCATCCATGCCTGCAAGTGAAAAAGCCATTTTCTCTCCTCAGTCATTCCAATAGGAGAAGGAGAGAGAAGGAGAAAATACCTAGGACCCAAAGCCTATATATTCCTCTTGTTTAATATGAGTTTTAATATAGTGTTGTCTGCAAGTTTTGGGGCACAAGGGTAGGGTGGAATGCTGTTACCTTAGCTGTGTAACCAGAGGGATTCAGGAAGCCATTCTAGGTATTGTAGCCCCTGGGCCCTAGAGATGGTGCTGCCCGAAAGAAAGCACTAGGAATCAGAGTCCAGCAAGTGCTGAGAGAGAGGGAAGGGGAGAGGGAGAGACAGAGAGAGGGAAGGACACAGAGACAGACTCAGAGTGACAGAAGCAGGGGAGAAAGGGAGGGAGGGAGACACACAGAGACAGGTGGGGGAGAGATGAACACAGGCAGAGAGAGAGATGGAAAGAGACAAGTAGAGGGAGGGACAGAGAGAGATGAGAGAGATAGGGAGATAGGGAGAGAGATAAGGAGGAAAGGAAAGGGAGAGCCAAAGCCTTCTGACATGGAGTGAAACAGCTGGAAAACAGCTGCCTAAGGATGGAAGCCTGGGCTAGTCGTTGATTTGGCTGTAAGGAAAAAGACGGCAGGGACAGAGTGAAAAGGCAACCTAAAAGAGGCATCTGAGATGAGAGAAAGTGCTCTGCCAACCGCCAGCAGTTCAGGATTGGCAGGAAAGGCTACTCTCTGACGCCACCTACAGGGTTTAGGGGAGGAAAGGACCAGGCTCATGTGTTAAGAATTCTAGACTGTGCAGAAAAGAAAAAGACCAATGTTGGTGGGCTGCAGGGAGACAGGCCCCTTGGTGGCCTTTGGGTGAGGCTGCGAATTCGTGCAGTCATCATTGGAAGCAGTTTGGGACTGTGCCTCCAAAGTGATTCTATTGTGCGTGATGTCCTTTTACCCAGCAGGACGATATCTAGGTCTTTACCCCAAAGTGATCAAAGAAAATGGAAGAGGTTTAGCAAATATATAGATCTCTCTCTCTCTCTCTCTCTCTCTCTCTCTCTCTCTCTCTCTCTCTTTTCTGTCTCTCTCTTTATATATATATACATATATATGTATGTATATAAACATATATACATATGTATATACTTACATACATACAGATTTTAATTATATATATATATATATATATATATATATAATATATATATATATATATATATAATATATAAACACCTTTTTTTTTTTTGTAATGGCAAAGAACTGGAAACTGAAGCAGCACACGCCTGTTTCATGCTGCCTAAATGAATTTTGGTCTGATTGATGATGAGAGAGATGGTTTCAGAGAAACCAGGGAAGAATAGATACAGAGCGAAATAAGCAGAACCAGAACAATTTCTACAAGAACAACGTTGTAAAAATGAACAATTTTGAAGTCCTTAAAAACTGTGATAAACACAAGGACCAGCCTTGATTCCAGAGGACCAATGATGGAGAATACTACCCACCTCAAATGACTGACTACATCTTCAGAATGAGACACATCTTTGGACATCTCCAATGTGGGAAATTGTTTGTGCTTGACTTGTGTCTGTTTATTACAAAGGCTTTGGTTTTTTTTCATGTGCAGGAGAGGGTTGAGTGAGGGGTGGCGGGAGGAAGAAAAAACAAATTCTTGATAATAAAATAAGTTGTATTTTAAAATTTTAATTAAAAAGGTAATTGAAATATAATTTAATTTTTAAAAGACAAAATCTATCACTAATTAAGAAAGGGGTTACAAGGACTGGTGTACCATGGCCTTTTGAGGTACAGGAATCTGAGAATGTATAAGAGAGAGACTCTGGGAGGATTTATGTGGCTGATTAGGCTATATTATTGTCAGAGCTTTCTGAGAAAAAGAGATACATAGAGCTCAAGAGCACTGAAGACCTCCACCTTGAGAGAGAGAAACACATGATATCTTCCTAAGCCCTGCAGCCAAGGACAGAAAGAACCAATAAGATAGGAAGGATGGCTGCATTGCTTGGGCACCTCTACCCCAGCTCTCACCATGGGCCCCCAGGAGCATTTGACTCACTCCTCTGCATATTTGGGCCAAGTGTTACCTGGTGGCATTTTGCTTTAGCTAGAAAGCTCTCCAGTTTTCCCCAGTGGAAAGACTTGGGAGGACATTATCCCATAGAAACAATTCAGACTTATAACAGCTTACTTTGGTGGGGAGGCAATTGGGGTTAACTGTTTGACTTGCTAAGTAACAACTAGTTGACAACTTGACTGAAACAGACAACAACTTGACAACTAGTAAGTGTCAAGTGTCTGAGCTTGGATTTGAACTCAGGTCCTCCTGACTCTAGGGCTGGTGCTCTATCCACTTTGCCACCTAGCTGCCCTGAACAGGTTGCTTGTAAGTAAACTTAAAGGACCCACACTAAATCTTAGGCACCTTGCTCCTTGATCTGTCCTCATAGTCTGTCACTTTGCCTCGTGTTTGTCTGGATCTTTAGCAATTTCACCATGATCTTGCTCTGTTTTCTTCATTCTTCCTGCTAGCATGCTCACCAGCAAAAACATTCTACTTGGGACCAATGACGTTCTGTTAGGTTTCAACTCATTTTTCTACATTAGTTTCTAAATGACTTTGTTTCCTTATTTCAGAGATTTCCCACCTGTTCTTAGGATGTAATTACTACCTTATTCAAAGAATCCATCATAGAATCAGAGTTGGAAGTCATCTGAATAGTCACCTACATTTAGTCCAACCTGACCCCACATAGCCTTTTAATAATTCCCTTTTAAAAAATTAACTTATTTATTTTACTTTCCAATATTTCACTTCCACAAGATTTTGAGTTCCAAATTTCTCCTCATCTCTACCC